GCGATGCCAGCGAGGTTGTGGAGTTGGAGGCAGGCACTGCAACTTTGCGGGTGACTCCGGACCACTTGGTGCAGGTCGCCGATGCAAAGGCGGAAGAGAGCCTCTACCTTGCAGCTGGCAAGCTGAAGGCGGGCGACCTTGTGATGCTCGACTCCGGGGAGTCCGCGGCCCTCAGCAGCGTCGTGCTTCGGCGTGAGGCCTGCCAGGTGCTGAAGATCGTCTTTGAGCCCTACCTGCCCGTGGCCGTCTTCTCCCGCCCCACCTGCATCCTCAGCTTGGGCCACAAGAAGAAGCCGCCCATTCGTCGTGGCGGAAGGAGCCAGGGAGGCCCGGGTCCCTCAGATGCTTGCATGGATGGCAGAGCCTCCATCCCGATCACGGTGGGCGAGTACATGGACTAAGCTTGTATGACGTGTATAGGTGGGGCCCGCATGTGTCTGACTTGTTGAGTGGGCCAACCCATGATTGCGGATTTTTGCGAATTCACGGACTCCGGCGCTGTGTGGTCAAGGAGGTCAGCGCACGGCTGCCTCGGCATGCCTGTGCCTTATCCTCCTTGGCTTGTCGCTGGAGTCGCTCGAGCGCAGCGCACGTGACCCCTGCTTTACATGCTCCAACTCGTCCATGTAAACCTACGGTGTATCTGTGTTGCGGACGCTGAGGGTCTGAGGGGTGGGTGTACCGGAGACATCCGCAGCAAGCGATGTTCAGTGGGGGGCCGCAGTGCCAGAAGAAGAGCTCGTTGCAGAACAATCTCTTCCAGGCTTGAGAATCCTGCACAGAAGACTGCAGATGAGAGCGCTTCCACCCAGATCTCGCATTTGGGCGTTGGACCGCTCGCAAGCCAAAACGTGAAGATGCTTGTCGCATTCGTGCTCTTCTGCCATCCACAGGGCTCGTGCCAAGCCCTGGCCCTTTTTTTCACAACAGCCCTTGAGGCCCTCAGCCCCCAGCCTCATAAGGATGCCTCTACTGTACTCCTTTTTGGGGGAAGATCTTTTTCCCTTCAGTCCGAAGCCCATGTGGAGCCCTTCCCCGCTCAGAGCCCTCCCGTTGCGAGGCGCCGGAGCGCAGAGCGCCTGGAGGAAGCCCGGCTCCCAGCCTTTCGGACGGGTGAGCTTGAAGCTTTTGAGGTTTTTTTTTTGTGAGAGTTTGGTTTCTTCTCACAAAACAAGTGCGCAGCTGGGATGGAGTTAGGGAGGCTCAAGTTTGGGCAGGACGTCCTAGCTGGTTGCGGAACTGGGTCCCAGACAAGCACCCTGACAGTTGGGGCACGCGTGTCTGCTGCGCTTCCAGGGCCAAGCAGGTTGAGAGCTCGAGGCCTCGCCTTTGCTGCTCTCAGGTCCTTTCATCCGCGATGAGCTCTGCAGCTATGCACGGAGGGGGCCGTGCAGGAAGCAGCTACGGTAGCAACTGAAGAATGGCGATGTTTGTCTTTCAGGAAGAGGAAGAGCGCTAGTAGAGGCTCATAGAGGCTTAAGGAGGTGCGGGCTTTGCCGAGCTCCAAGCTTTCCACAACACTCCTTGGAAGTTGGAAATGCGCGGCCTGAACTCAAATCCCCACAAGCCTAGAAGCCCTACGAGCCCAAGAGACTTACCCCTTCTCCCATTAGCCTTCCGTCCGAAGCTCCCCGAATGCTGCCGACGGCACCCTGCAAAGAGCGCCCCCTCCGGGAACTCGCTTCCTTGAAGGAGGTTTCTGAAACAGGAATTCCGGGGGCGGTGGGCTCCAGACTGGGACTCCCTTTCGAAAGATCTCGCGACGAAGTTCCGGAGCCCTTGCAAAGAGATCAGAAAGTTAGAAAGGGAGCCCCAGAGTAGCACGACCGCCCTTGTCTAGACGGGTCAGGCTACCGGCAAATCCGTTGAAGGCCACGAGGGTTCTGGGGATGTCCTTCCGAGGACAAAGCGGTCCGGTAGCCTTGGGCCCGAATTAGAAGAAGCCTCCGACGCCGCGATCCCCCCCAAAGGGGAGGGGACCCAGGCCAATAGCTACGGCCGAAGCTGAAGCGCAGGCACCGAATTTCAGCGTACACTTCCTTTGTGTGTCGTTACTTCGTTCCTTGCTTCCACAAGTCCAGAAGGCCCTGCAACGCGAACACCCTCACGGAACCTGAAAGCATCTTTAGCGCAGCCCCGTGCCCAAAGCTTGCGTGACGCAGCGGACGGAGCAAAAAAGGTGGCCTCGGCCGTTTGAGGAGTGGTCATTCGAAGATGTGCGGTGCGCTTGAACCTCACGTGCGACGTCGGTTTTCCTACGGGTCCTGGATGCCTCTCTTAAACATTTGCAGGCTAAGTACATGGCTGTAGACCCCCTAACGTGAGCACACCGAAGAAGGGTGCCAGTTGCAGGGTGCAGCGCAGGGAGGGAGGATCCCATCCGCAAATCCTTCGGAAGAGGATGATGACCCAGGATGTCCCCGAAGCTTCGGCTTTGCAGTTCGCTTTGAGGGGCCTCGGACTCCAGTCTTTCGAGCCTGTCTATCCCAAAAACCTGTTCCAAAGAGCCTCCGCGTGCGGCGAAACTCTGCGGCTCACAGCTTCCAAGCCCGGTGGGACTCCACTTCGCAGCTCGAGCGGCCGTCCGGCCCCCTGCGCTTGGCTTATCTTTCGTGGTTGCTTTCGTAAAGCAGACGGAGCATCCCGGCCCTCGTCAGTAGCCCTAAACCCTGAAGCTTAGACTACGAAGGCCTGGTAGCATCAGCACCTTAAGTTTCCCTCCCACGGGCAACGAGCCTGAGACTTTCAAGTGTGGGATGGGGCGTTCCGGCACAAGTTTTCTGGCCCAGCAGGCTTCGTCATATGGGTTAGTTTTCGAAGTTAGGGTCTCCGTTTTAGGGGTCCTTTTTGTTGCAAGGGGGCCGTACTACATTGGGGATCGTAAAAGGGACCCTAATTTAGAGAACTACCCATATCAAGACCAGGCTTGCCGAGGCCCCGTCGTTCTTCCTTCATGGAATTTCAGTCGGTAGGATAGCGTACAGGAGCAGCCTGAAGAAGTAGCACTTTCAGAACGCTGACGGTACCTCATCATCTGTTTCTTATGATTAATGCGTATTAGTTTATCATTCGTATTTTTGTTTTTGGTTTCATGAATATATTCCATAGCAGCAGCTGTCTTGGCCTACTTGGGGTCGATGTTCGGGGCCGGCTCACTTTTGTGAAATGGGCTTTGCGCTTCGGAGAGGGAGCCGTTCGCCGGCAAGCTCCGGCACAGTGCAGGATCTGTTTGCTTTCTGTGGTTCCGGACGTTCTATGTTTGGAATTTTCCAGAGCTCCTGATTTGATCTGCCTGTCTGCGGGTTTTGCGTTGAGGCTTCTGGAGTTTTTTTGGGGGGATTTCGGGGGTTCAGGGCTCCGTAGGCAGGTTGAGTGGCTCTACAGCCTCGGGGCATCTCTTGAGATCAGAGAGAGTGAGCCTTCTGGCCTCAACAACTCCCTCCAAAAAGGAGCGCACCACCAGCCCTGCGAGTAGAAACCGGCTCCAGGCTCTTCTCTCCCCCTCTCTGACAAAGCTCTCTGTAAACGGTGGCCAGGGTTGAGGTGAGGCCCTGAGTCCCAGAGCCTCAGGCCCCTTTGACTTGGGAGATGCCCCAAGGCCCAAGCCCACCGACAGCGCCGAGCCGTGCGCCTCTTTCCCTCAGCAAGGGCCAGCCGCGGCTCCAAGCTCTGCCTGCCGCAGCCCGGAAGCCCCGAAAGACCCTCAGATCCTGAATCACAGAAACTTCACGTCGTGCAAGGGAGGACTCGTCTGTGCTCATCTAATGTCATCTAGGTTCCACTTCTTGCCGGCAACCTCCCAGTCGTAGATGGAAGAAGTGAGCACCCCCGCAAGCTGGATCCGAGGCCTCTATGAGGTGGCGCCTCGAACAACCCGGCAGAGGGCCCTTCCCGGTGCGGCTCCAGGTCCAGGGCCGTGGTTTGTTGCCCTTGGACCTGCATGAAAGTCCAGGTCTGCTTCTTGTGAGAGCCGGAACAGAGAAGCCTCAGAAGGCTCTTCTCATGTTTGGAGCTTCGCAGCGATGTACACGGCTGTTGAGAGGCTCAAAACGACGAACCCGACATACCTTCGGCCGTCCGTCACCCGCCTTCCGAGCTCCGCGGCACACCGCCAACATGCCCCAGCAGCCCGAAGCAAAAGATCTCCATGACCTGACCGAAGTCCCGGCCGGCTGGCCCCTGGCCACCGTCATCGACGCCTTCACCGAGTTGGCTCGATATAGTGCAGGTCAAGCTGGTCCAGACCGAGCTCGCGAGGCGCTGAGCCATCGGCTGGTGGAGCTCTGGGCCTCGCAGCCGGCGGAGGCGGAGGCCTGGCTCCAGCGCTGCCGGGAGCGCTTCGCGAAAGAGCTCGCAGGCCAGGAGACGAGGCCGGAGCAGCTCTGCGAGGCGCTGCTCCGGCACGGGGCGGCCGAGTGGGGGAAGTACTCCGGCTGGTGCGGCTGCCGCTTCTCCGAGGCCGGGCTCCTGCGAGGAGCGCCGTGGGGCTCAGCAGCGGAGCGGGAGCACCAGGCGGCTTGGCAGCTGCAGCGGCCCTACACCCGCGCTCGCTGCCGGGAGCTCGCGGAGCGGCTCGTGGAGGCGGAGAGCCAGGAGACGGCGCGGAAGCGGCAGAAGCTCGAGGAGGAGACCGCCAAGCGCCGGCGCCTCGAAGCGGAGCTCCACAAGTCGCAGGAGGAGGAGTGTCGAGATCTGCGCGATCGCCTGGCTGCGGTGGAGGCAGAGGTGTCCCGCAAGACCGCGGAGCTCCAAGCTGCGCAGAGCGAGAGCGTGAAGTGCAAGGAGCGGTGCGAAGAGCTCGCAGCTCGTGCTGCAGCTGCGGAGTCAGCCGTGGCGGAGATGCAACAGGAGCTCGTGCAGCTGCAGGAGGAGCACAGCCGGTGCCAAGAGCGTTGTGAGGAGCTCGTGGCTCGGATGGAGGCAGAAGCAGCTGAGCATGCCAAAACCAAGGAGCGTGTCTCACAGGCCGAATCCGATGCTGCCGAAAGGAAGATGGAAGCTTCCGAGCATGCCAAGACCAAGGAGCTTCTCTCACAAGCCGAAGCCGATGCTGCAGAAAGGAAGGTGGAGGTGGAGCGGCTGCAAGAGGAGGGTCGCGGCTACCAGGAGCGCTGCCAGCAGGCTGTAGCCGAGAGCAAGATGGAGCTGCAGCTCGAGAATGCAAGGCTCCAGGGGAGGTGCGAGCAGTTTCAGCAGCAACTTGCCAAGGTAGAGGGCCAGATTGAGGTCTTGCGGGAAGAGAAGGCCACTTTCAAGGAGCGTTGCCGGCAGCTGGAGCGTGAGGCGACATCGCCACGCATCCCTTCTTCCATCCGAGCCAGCCCCACCCAACAGGGCCCAACTCCCGGCGACGACGCAGCTTCCCCCTGCGGCCAGGAGTCGCATCTGACCGAAGAGCTCGGGTACGTTCTGGTGGAAGATGGCGTGGCCTCCTCCTCCGCCTTGAGCTGCTCCTCATGGTTCTCGGTGAAGCCCGACTGCTTCATGCCGGACGCCATCTTCAAGACCCGCAGCGGTAGCATTGAGCACTTCCTAAGGGGCCGCGATCTCCAGAAGGGATCGCAGGTGGTGGCCGGGGATGGCGAGACCATGGTGGAAGTCTGCGAGGTCCCGGTGCTGTGGCAGGCCAAAGGTTTCGTCCGTTTGCAGGCCGGGGCTGCGATGCTGGAGGTCACGGCAGACCACCCGGTCCAGGTCCCACCAGCAGACGATGCCATGGATGACAAAGACGGCACAGGCAGCGCCCGCTACGTCGAAGCAGGAAAGCTCAAGAAGGGTGATTTGGTCATGCTCGATGCCGGCGAGCCCGCGGTCCTCACCAACGTGGTGTCAGAATCGGGCGACTGCCAGGTGCTGAAGCTCGCTTTCAAGCCGAATCTCTCCGTGGCGGTCTTCTCTTCACCACCCTGCATCCTCAGCAAGGGCGCCAACAGCAAGCCAGATCCCCGCCGCGGGAAGAAGTGCCGGAGCCGAGGTCAGCGAGCGAAGGTTGAGGAGAGCGCGGACGACGGAAGAGCCTCCATGCCCAAGACGGCTGGAACATCGACGGAGATACTGCTCAGGGGCGCAGCAGGTGCGTCATGAATGAAAAGATACCCATGAATCCCTGATGAGCCGTTCTGAGCCAGCATATTGTTGATTCTCCGGCGATGTTGCCAGGGCGTTTAGTGCACGGGGCCCCTTAACCGCCAGTGCCTTGCGCCGCTAGAGTTGTCGCCGGAGTTGCCCAGAGTGCAGCGCACGCGGTCCCGAGTTGACATCATTCAGAGCTTCGTTTCAGAAACTGTTTCTATGGCACTTATATCAATACTATTGTTACTATTGGTAGGTTGTGAGACAAGGAGGGATGGGCAGTGTGGGCACAAAGGCTTTGCATCAATCTTCCAGTGGTGAATAGGCTCGCAATTTTGTTCATCTTGCGCAGAAGATCGCAAGCCGGCCTCCAACGATTCGCGAGTTTGCGAGGCAGGAGAAACAGGTCCCCTAAGCCGCTGCAGCGGCAGCATCTGCTCACCACACCGAAGACGAAGGGCCTCAGAAGCCGGGTGCCTGCACCATCGCAAGCCCTTGAAGCCACATCCCACAACGCCGCCTCCCATGACTGAATGACCTCGGCAGGTCTGCGATGTTTGGTGTGGTGCGAAGGACCGGAGCTGTTTGTTTGTTTTTCGCAGTGGAGCTTTGCGGAAATTCGGGCTTTCGGCTGAGGAATCATCGGCAGGCTCCTTCCTAGGCGAGGTGTCGGACTATGTTCGGGGAGGTATGTATCTGTTCCATCACCGGAAATCGCTGCAGCCATTTTTTTGAGGTCTTCCGGAAGTTAGGTTTCGTCTTCAAGGGAGGCTCTTTTTTGAGACCTGGAATTGGTTATGGGCGCGGGCAGGAGCGGGGGTGTCCCTCAAGAGGGCGGAGCGGTTCCAAGCTGACCCAGGAGGAAAAGTGCCCAGAAACCCCAAAGGAGATTGCCGATTTCCCGAGCAGCAACGCTATCTCTTGTTGAGCCTAACTCTGCGACGCAGGACCCTTTCACTTGGCTGCCGTCTCTTTGTACGGTGTCTCGTTTTCGAGAACCTATACGTCTACGCAGAATCTCAAACCCTAAACCCTAAACCCTAAACCCTAAACCCTAAACCCTCAAAAAAGAACTTCCGCTAATCAAAGCTCGGCCCTGTTGTTCTGCCCCAGGAGAAAATCCGAGAGAAACCTCCCGACGTTGCCTTGGCACATAGTTGTCAAAAACTAGGGTCCCTTTTGGGGGTACCCTAAATAATAGGTGCCGTAGAAAAATAAGGACCCAAAAAGGGGGACCATAATTTTGACAGCCACCCACATGGCAGTGAAAAGCTCTTGAACTCGCAAGGCTGGGTCCACGGCTTCGAGGCGGCCTTAGACCGACGGTGGCAGCCGCTGCCGCTGCGGCTCCAGGTCGGGTCCGCGGTTTCTGGGGCTTAGGGTTTAGGGACCCTAAACCCTAAACCCTAAACCCTGAACCCTATAGGGTTTGCCGGGCCTTCGACACAAAGGTGGATGCATCCTGATCTTAACCAGCGAGTTGCAACCACAGGGGGTCGGCTCGACTAGAACTTCTACAAGCAATCCGTCTCTGCACCCGCTGTTCTTTCGTTGCTAGCGCAGGCTCGGCGTGAACGTGCATGTGAGTTCCGACGGTTCTGGAAGATCCGGGGAGGTCTTTGTTTCATTGGGCACTTTGCGCCGAAGTTCGACGGAGCCCTCTTATTTCAGAGCCTCAGGGTGTTGCAGGCGCTGACTACCGAAACTTCATGGGCATCTACAGGCAGCCCAATCCCAATCCGATCACCTCTGCAACCTTCCTTGCGCGCGACCTGCCGAGCTCAACTCCGAGATCCCAAGTAAAGCCCTATATCTGGCAGCAACAGGCGGGCATATGGGAGTTTCCGACAATTAGGGTACCCTATTTTGGGGTCCTTAGAATAAGGATCCTACTATTAAGGGTACTATATTAGGGTCCCCTATTCTCGGAAACCCCCATATGTATTCCGGAAAGAACTGAGATCTGGGGGATCCGGCCTCACCCGCGATGCCCCGAGCCTCTCAGGCATGAGCAGAAGAGACGCAAGCTCCCTGAGCTTTAGCCAGGATGAGCCGCTGCTTCCGTGCGTCTGCAGGTCCGGGGGCCTTTAGGGTTACTTCGAGGGTCACGGCAGATTTTCTGGAAGAGCTTCTTGAGCTGCTGGGTCGGCGATGCGGAGTTGAAGGAGTGTGGTGGTATGTGGTGGTGACGATGGTTCAGCTCGGGCTTGAGGTTCCGCGCCCTAACACCAAAGCAAAGACGGTCACCTCAACGAAGAGCTTCGCTGCAGGGCGCTCCGGAGGCAGATCCGCTCGCCTCTGATCGATGGCGAGTGCCTCAAACATCCACCTGCTGACCTTCTCATGAGCGATGCCAGGCCCGTTTTGGGAGTCGCCCTGATTTCGACACAAACTCGGCAGCCTCCAGAACTTTGGGGGGGTCCCTCATTATAACTACAGTATAACATGCCCTTTTAAAGGAAAGTATAACCTTTCTTTGCCTTTCGCGGGTCTTTGGTCTGGCCGAGGCGAGCTGCCGAGCCGGGAGCAGACGGGTCGGCGATTTCACGCGTGCGGTTCGGTGGCGGAGGGTCTTGGAGGCCGGGCGCCTTTTCCTGGGAGGCGACGAGTCGTGCGAGGCGTGTAGTGTCCTGGTGTCGCTGTACTTAATATAACGGTATGCTCTTTGGGACGGAGATTCACACAGACGTACCGGCAGCTTTCGTGTCTTGTTCAAGTTTGCAAGCGCTGCAAAGTGCGTCTGACGCTGCATAAAATCATGCATGCACAGACGTCGGAACGTATGTAGGTCCGCATGGGTAGACAAGTCAACTAATGCCGCTAGAGCAAGAAAGCGGGTAAACCGCTGCCTGTGGATACAAGCACTCATATGAGCATCGTTCTTTTTGGTGGGTTCTTTTGACAATACCAGGAGGGCGATTAGCGCGGTCGCTTCAAGAGTGCACACCCTTTCGATCGCCCGCAAGGGCGAGCGCAAGCGCGAGCGCAAGCTAAGCTTGCGCTCGCGCTTGCGCGCCCTTAGCCTATGCTCAAGGCTTGTGATTCAGGTTGATTCAAGAGTGATAGTCAGAAGCGTTGTAGGTAGATGAGCCTTGAATCCCAGTCTTTTGACTGCAGCCGAAGCTTAGACTCGAAGCCACCAAAGCTCAACATGCCACTGTAACCAACCCTAGTCTTCAAAAGAACCTCGCGCGCGCGCGCGCGCCCAAGGAAAGCGCAAGGGCGAAGCGCAAGGAATCTTAATTGGCATGCGTGGAGCAAGGATATAGAACAACCCTCATCTGCATGCAGCTTGTGGCTGACTCTCTGTGGGTACCTGGAGGCCTCTTGAAAGGTCGGCTAATCGTGTGTTAGGCTGCAATTCTGCGATCATGTGGTGGTTTCGCAGCACTCGCTGTCCTCCGGGTCTCAGCTTCAGGCTTCTTTGGTGGCCGGTGCGGTGTCCGCCTCCGTGCCCGCAGAGCTCTGGGCTCTGCAGGTCAGCTTTGCACTTTTGCCGGAAAGGGCCTGGAGGTTGCACGAAGTCTGTGATTGCAAGCTGTGTTCGGGAAGCAGGCAGCTCCGAAGTGCAGCAAAAGCGTGAAATCAGTGAGACCTTTTTGAGGCCTGCAGCTGCAGAAGGGCTCAGGAACACGAGTCTCGGACTCCACGCACCGAAGCTCGCCATGCCGCTGACCGAAGTCCCTGCCGGCCGGGTCCTCCGCCAGGCGATGCCCCAGCAGCCCGAAGCAAAAGTTCTCAAAGACCTGACCGCAGTCCCTGGCGGCTGGCCCCTGGCCACCGTCATCGACGCCTTCGTCAACTTGGCTGCTTATTGTCCAAGTCGTGCTGATATGAACCGAGCTCGCGAGGCGGTGAGCGATCGGCTGGTGGAGCTCTGGGCCGCGCAGCCGGCGGAGGCCGAGGCCTGGCTCCAGCGCTGCCGGGAGCTCTTCGCGAAAGAGCTCGCAGGCCAGGAGACGAGGCCGGAGCTCCTCTGCGAGGCGCTGCTCCGGCACGGGTCGGCCGAGCATGGCACGTACTGGCCGTACGCCTGGCGCCTCTCCGAGGCCGGGCTCCTGCGAGGAGAGCCGTGGGGCTCAGCAGCAGAGCGGGAGGCGGAAACGGCTTGGTACCTGCAGGAGCCCCACACCCGCGACCGTTGCCGGGAGCTCGCGGAGCGGCTCGGGCAGGCCGAGAGCCAGGAGACGGCGCGGAAGCGGCAGAAGCTCGAGGAGGAGACCTCCGAGCGCCGGCGCCTCAAAGCGGAGCTCCAAAAGTTGCAGGAGGAGGGCCGAGAGCTCAGAAATCGCCTGGCTGTGGCGGAGGGCGAGGTGTCCGGCAAGGATGCGGAGCTCCAAGCAGCACAGACCCAGGGTGCCAAGTGCAAGGCCGTGCTCCAGGACCGGTGCCAGCAGCTCCAGCAGCAGCTTGCCAAAGCACAGGGCCAGATGCAGGTCTGCTGGGAGGAGAAGGGCATGCAGAAGCAGCGCATCCGTGAACTGGAGCACCAGCTGTCTCAGGCGATGCAGCGGGATTCCCGTCTGTTTCCCGGTGCCACCGCGGCCCGGCTAGGGGACGGTTCCGACACTTCCGCTTCGAGCATCTCCTCTTGGTTCATGGTGGGCCGGGGCACCGTGAAGCCGCACTGCTTCATGACGGATGCCGTCTTCAAGACACGCGGCTACGGTGTGGACTTCTTCCTGATGGGGAGAGACCTCAAGAAAGGGTCGCAGGTGGTGGCCGGAAGACGACCTAACGCTCCTTGAGGTGGCCAAGACGCCCGAGATCTGCGAAGCCGGCGAGGTCGTCGAGTTGAAGGCAGGCGATGCTGTGCTGCAGGTGACACCGGACCACCTGGTCAAAACCGGCGAGCCGGAGGAGAGCGTCTACCGCGCGGCTGGCCGGTTGAAGGTGGGCGACTTCGTGATGCTCGACTCGGGCGACTCGGCAGCCTTGACGAGCGTCGTCGATCAACGCATGGACTGCAAGGTGATGAAGATCCAGTTCCAGCCGGACCTCCCTGTGGCCGTCTTCTCCCGCCCGACCTGCATCCTCAGCCTGGGCCACAAGCGGAAGCCGCCCATTCGCCGTGGCGGAAGGAGCCCGAAGGTGCCCAGGTCGGCAGAAGACAGCGTGGACAGAGCCTCCATCCCCGACACGGCCGGCGACTACATGGACTAGAGTGATCCGAGCTTTCATGTACAGTGCCAATGAAGAGAAACCAGAGCCAATGCCGAATGCACACATCGAACCGGGCTTTGACGATGCCGTCAAGGAGACCAGCGCACGGCAGCAGTGCCTGTGCCTTCCGCTGCCTGACATGCTCCCAAAGCCGCTCGAAAGCAGCGCACGCGGCCCTACTAGCAGATTGTTGCTCTTTACGACGACATGGGAGAGAGGTGTGGTTCTATGACGAATGTTTCTTACAATAGCATCGTTTCTTCGGATAACAAGCTAGTAGCAGTCATATGCTCTTGGACGTTCAGCAGGGCGCGCAGTGCCGGCGGGAGAGCAGCCATGCATCTTTCGTAGGCGTGGCTCACAGTTTTGCACCTTTGCGAGAACACCGATCGCAGGTTGCACTTGCGCGTAAGATCGTGCTCCTGTACTACTTGCAATGAGATCCTGTTCCCGCTTGTTGGCCAAAGTTCATGTGCTTCATGCTTCTCAGCAGTTATCTCCACCATGCAGCAGCTTGCCCTTAATTCCCCCTAAACCCTAAACCCTGAACCCTAAACCCTAAACCCCCCTTTTAAGCCCTCTGCAGGACTGGAGGAAGGTGCTGCCGAAGTTGGCATCTTTGGGTGTGGACATCCGAAGGCCACGGGATCGTGCAGAGTCTCTGGTGGGGGGTTGGGGTGGGGTGTCGTTCGTTTTGGGGATGCAGCAGCTTGGGATCCTTGGGCAGCTTGGGCTTTAGGCATTCCGGACTTGGGTTTGAGGATTCGGGGGGGCCTGGGGCTGTTCAGGAGCATTCATCAGTTCGGTTGCATGGGAATCCTGAATCCTGTGTATGTCTGCGCGAGGTGCACCTGCAAGCTGCAGGCGAGTGACAGGGCCACGACCGGGGTACTCACTGCCTGCGTTGCCGCAGCCTGTTCTCAAAACGCTCTGCCCGACCTGACGGCCAACTTACTGCAAACTTCCAAACGAAACTAGCTTCCAGGCTTCACTTGCGTAGGTCTTTCTCGAAAGCTTCGGTGCTCTTGACCGGATGTTCCTGAGGAAGTAAATTTTTATTCCATAACACAACGGGCGATTCATATGTTTATCACACCAACTCTCAGTGCATGCACTTCTGAAGGAGCACGTGGGTAGTTCTCTAAATTAGGGTCCCTTTTTAGGTCCCCAATATAGTACGGCACCCTTATAAAAAGGACCCCAAAAGGGACCCTAATTTAGAAAACTACCGACGTGCTTGTGAGCCCTCCAGACCAAGTTTCATCCCTGCCGCGGCAGGCCCGAAGGCCGCAACAACGGGGTTAGGGTTTAGGGATTAGGGTTTAGGGTTTAGGGTTTAGGGTTTAGGGTTCAATCTACCCACAACTCGCCAACCAAATGCACGAAACCCGGTAGCGGTCTAGGATATTGTTTTTTGTTTATTTATTGGTGTGTGTGTGTGTGTGTGGAAATCCTGTTCCTAATGACTGTGAGTCGTAATGAGAGTCATTCTCGAAATCTGATGCACCGTTAT